AAGCCTAATATGAATAGTAAAGGTGAGCAAACCATGGAAATGTCCTCGCAGGTTCTTAGTGGTCCATATGCCAAGGTAAATGTTTTGCCATATAAGCAGTAAAAATTGGCAGAATGTTTTCATTTCTCGTTTTAGTGCCACCCACGGGGAGACATCTTGAGCCAACAAAATGTTATTATTACCTGCTGCATAAATTAGTATATTCCATGCCTCTTATCTCCATAAGGTTAAGCCTAAGGCTTTTTGCAGTGTTTTTGTTGATGGCTGTATAGGCTGGATCAGGCATTGTGTTTGTGTATGCACGCGCGTGCATGTGTGTGCGAGCTTGCTTTTTTTTAAATACACATGTGCACACGAAACATTCCCCAGATGTGGAGTTACAATACAATTACTGCAAAGAGAAAATATGATTCTTCTTGCATAAATTAGGCAAGTTAAATAAATATCTGCTAAATTTATTCTGGAGATTCTATTTTGTCTAATTATTCTGTTCTTTAGGTGAAAGGCCAAAACATTATACAGGGCATTATTTGTTGTTGTTGTTTTGGGGGGTGGGGTGGGAGCTTAATTCAAATTTCAATACAAATACAGGTTTATGCTTATATTAAAAGATGACAGGAAGATTTTATAAAGAGCATTTTATGGTTTAGCACAGCAGCTTGTAACATTCTGAATGAAGAACAAAAAATTTCGAAGATCATTTAGATGAACTCGAATTGAAACCTATGGTATATAAATTTTATGTATGTTAATAAATAAATAAATAAAATTGCCAGCTGAATGTGAAGAGAGGAACATGAACTGGAATTAGCTCCTCTCTCTTTTTTCGACAAGTTGAACTTTTTACAGTGAACTTTCTCAGTTTTCAGAGTTTATACCACCAGAATAGTTGGCGGTAGATGTGTCAGACACTCCAAGCAATGCTGCATGTTTCCTTGTGAGGAATATGGATTTGGAAGCAGGGTTGCAGGGAAAGGGAAAGTCCCATTGTGCAGGTAGAGTCCATTGTGCTAACATGCCGACTTCATTGAGTACAACTTTCAGGTTGAAGGCTAGTTGCCAAACACCTGAGAGAGCAATATGTAGTCTGTGATAATGTTGTTGTTGTTTAGTCGTTTAGTCGTGTCCGACTCTTCGTGACCCCATGGACCAGAGCACGCCAGGCACCTCTGTCCTCCACTACCTCCCGCAGTTTGGTCAAACTCATGCTGGTAACCTCAAAAACACTATCCAACCATCTCGTCCTCTGTCGCCCTCTTCTCCTTGTGCCCTCCATCTTTCCCAGCATCAGTGTCTTCTCCTGGGAGTCTTCTCTTCTCATGAGGTGGCCAAAGTACTGGAGCAATGAGGTATGAGTAAATCCATATGGCCATATTGCTATATGAGTGGAAACACATCCTCAGAAATTGCCCAGGATCTTGAGTTAAACAGTTGACCAAGTATTGAACGTGGCATCAAATTTAAAATGGAAGACAAGATGATCTTGGAAAGTTACCTCAGGCCAAGGAATGCGAAATGGAGCTCAAATTTCCTCTTGGGAGTTTCACATGCGACTAACGTTGCGTTCCTGCATACAGTTAAGCTACTTGAATCCCTTTGACTTCAACAGCATGGCTGCCACTTAAACATTGTGCCGTGTGGTAGCCTAACTACAGAAGAAAACGCACCATTTTGCTATGAACAGGGCAAATTGCAGACTGAGCCTTGTGGTTCTCCATGTGTCACTGAACTACAGCTTCCATTATCCTTGGCCATTTGCCATGCTAACAGAGGCTTATGGGAGTTATAGTTCAGGTACATCTGAAGAGCACCACAAGTTAGCCACTGAAGGTTCCCTTGGAAATTTCTAGTTCTGCTGGCACTTTTACACCATCTTTGTATCGTCTATTTTTCTTCAAGAAGCCCTTAATTTCCTAGTAAGTGTGTAGATGAGGGCCCAGTGGTACCAAAGAGTGTTTTTAAGCTTGCGTTGTGGTTTTGAGCAATATATCATCAGGGCAATGATGCTGGGATGATGTATTGCACTAATACCTCATAAGAGCACTATCGCGCTCGTGATATATTAGTATAATACACTATCAGAACACTATCTCTGATGTATTACTCAAAAGAACCATTTTTAACCGAAAAGGAAGGAGAGGAGAGCATCTTAGCTCCCACCAGAAACTATGGACAGCAACAATAAAGGGGGAAAATAATAAATTGTTGGGTCCTCGGCTTGTAAGGTATCTTGAAAGAGCCAGGAGAGTTGTTTAGAGCACTCGGTGCTATTCTAGCTTTAAATTCCTTCTGATGAAGTGGACTATAGTCACCCAAAACTTATGAAATAATGAATTTGTTAGTCTTAGAGATGGCACAAGACTATTTATTTAATTACATGTACTGTATTTCAGTTCCCTTTATTTCGTCCTTTTTATGAATCACTTCCTGTAAGAGGCCAGGGAGCAATCTATTTATTTTGTATGCCACCTTTCAACTGAATATCAAGGGGAGGTTTGCAACATAAAAATACAAAATGAAAACACAAAATACATAATAACACAAAAACAAACCAACACCCCCCTCCCAAAACCCCACATATTTTAAAGGCCATAAAATGTAAATCTTCACAAGGCCTGCTAACAGAGACAGGTTTTTGAAGAGACATTTATGGGGAGAACATTCAATGAGCTGCTCCAGAAAAGGCCAGTTCTTGTGTTGCCACCCTCCAGACTGTTAGTTTCTGTTTCCTCACTGAGCAGCTGCTGCAACTCACAGGACTGTGTTTACATTCCAGAGTCCAGATACTGTTGGATTCTCACGGGAAAGGGAGACGGGATGTGACGTTACTGGTTTCCTGTTTCCTTTGTTCTTTCCTTTGTTTAGTTGCTCTCTGTTTCTCATAGAGAGGAGATGTATATTTCTTTGCTCTCTGCATAGCTTAGTAATAAAGTATAGCAATGTAGCCCATACCTATCTCATCCTTCCACTGTGGTGTTGTTTTAATGCTCTGCTGGGCTCAAAGGAAGATGAGCCATATCAGCTCGGACGACCGGAGCTGAAATTCAATACAGACCTCTCATGGAGGAGGGCCTCAGAGAATGATCTCAGGGTCCAAATAGATTCATATGAATAGAGGTGGTACTTGAGGTATTGTGGTCCTGAACCTTTTAAGGCTTTATAGGTCAAAACCAGCACTTTGAATTGGGCCCGGAAACTAATTAGCAGCCAGTGCAGTTGGCCCAGGATTGGTGTAATATGTTCACCATCTTGCCTCATTGAGTAACCTGGCTGCTGAATGCTGCTAAATTCTGCTGCTGAAGTCTCCGGACCATCTTCAGAGGTTGCCTCACTTATTACACATAGCAGTAATCTAACCTAGAGGTTACCAGAGCACAGATGGCAAAAGTTAGGTTATCCGTATCCAGATAGGGGCACAGCTGGGCCACCAGCCAAAGCTGACAGGAGGCACTCAGCACCACTGAAGCCACCTGAGCCTCAAGCAACAGCAAAGGGACAAGAAGTACCCCCAGGCTATGCAACCCCATCAAGAGCAGTCAACCTCCCATCCATCCTATTTAGAGAGCCATCCACAAACAGTAGCTCAGTCTTATCATCATTGAGCCTCAGTTTCTTGGCTCTTATCCAGTCCATTACCAAGGCAAGACAATGTTCCAGCACATCCACTGCCTCACTTGCAGGTGTAAAGGAGAAGCAGAGCTATGTGTCACCAACATATTGCTGACAACATACTCCAAACCTATGGATAACCCCACTCTGCAGTTTCATAAAACAATTTTGTATATAAAAACAGTTGAATGAAAGTTCTGCTAACTCACTCACCTCAGTATTCTCCCCACTGCCTCAGACATCTGTCTTGCAGCAAATTTTTCAGGAGTTTCACGCACACATGCACAGATGCACTTCTTCCAAATGCGCAGGAAGACCAGAATGGTCACCCCTACTGAATTTCAGATGTTGAGGGAAAATAGATGAAGTCTTCATCTCCCTACTTATGAATTCCCAGAGATTTTGGCTGGCTGCTATTGGAAGCTGTGCCGAATGAGGTAGATTGTTGCTTATTTCAGCTTTTAAAAAGGTAAAGGTACCCCTGCCCGTACGGGCCAGTCTTGACAGACTCTAGGGTTGTGTGCCCATCTCACTTAAGAGGCCGGGGGCCAGCGCTGTTTGAAGACACTTCCGGGTCATGTGGCCAGCATGACAAGCTGCATCTGGCGAGCCAGCGCAGCACACGGAACGCCGTTTACCTTCCCGCCAGAGCGGTCCCTATTCATCTACTTGCACCCGGGGGTGCTTTCGAACTGCTAGGTTGGCAGGCGCTGGGACCGAACGATGGGAGCGCACCCCACTGCGGGGATTCGAACCGCCGACCATGCGATCAGCAAGTCCTAGGCGCTGAGGTTTTACCCATAGCACCACCCGCGTCCCTATTTCAGCTTTTACCCTCCAGCAATTTTGGACTGCATGCTGGCTGAGCACTGATGGGAATTGTAGTCTTCACCAGCTGAAGCGCACCAGGTTTGGAAGGGCCCATCTATTATTAAGTTCTTAGAGCCTCCTTAAGCTCTAGTCCACCCTGTATTATATATGCTGTCCTCCTTCCTTAAATATGTTTGTAGACACCCAGGTTGAGAAATGGGTTACACTTGTCACTCTCAAAAGACTTGACAGTCAGTTGTGTGATATCCTGTCATTTCAAAGAGATGTGAAAGTTAGATTGACATATCCTAATAATTCCACAGAGCGTCTCAACTTTCTCACATGCACTGTGGAGTTTCTCTCTCCTTTCTGATCCTTCTCTTTTCTCCCCCCTGAGGACTTCTTGCAAGGAGTTAAAGAACAGGTTCACTGCTTTCCACAGCAAAAAACTGAATGCCATGGGAGTCACTGTTTAATAAAGGAATCCCAGTGAAAACATCTTGGAATATATCTGTCTGTTTCGACCAGAAGCTGATGATCAACATTCATTTGTGTGCTTGATTTTGTTTCAATTTTTGCAGCATGTCCATGTTCACGTACTTCCAAGGAAGGCTGGAGACTTCAGCAGAAATGATGACATCTATCATGAGGTATGTCTGAGCTTAAATATTTGAATATTACCATTTGAATATTAAAGTGGTTGTTGTGGCCTTAACTGAATGTGAAAGGTCCCTACCATTGCAATTTTTGAATGTACCATATTTTCATTACAAAACATGGAGGGGGTTGGGCTATTGATTTTCAAAGGTGTCTGGTTGCAACCTAGTGGTCTACATGTTGAAATGGATGCTTGTTGCTAAGTATAAAGCACAAAGGGGAATGCAATGTTGATCCGTTGTGTTGAATTTTGGGAGGGTTGAAAAAGAGGATTTTCATAAAGCTGTTTCCTGAAAACTCTCCAACCTGTACATTTTAAATCCTAGTTTGCTCCACCCCCCATGTTTTGTTGTGGGGCGTGAGACGTTGGTGGAATCAGTCTTCATTTTTTCCTAAATGTGATTTTCCCTATCGTGCAGTTAATCCGATTTGGCTATGAGATCTAAGAGGGTCAGATGGGCTTTGCACTTTAAGTCCTAGGAACAACTGTCCCTGCATAATCATTTCACACTTTGGTGACTATGGATCTAAAATTAGGGATGATCATCTGTAGATAACTGAACTTTAGTCACGGTCTACAGTGCAACTTTTTGCTCACAAGATTTCCTATGAACTGTGCCGCATTGCTAATCCATGCACATTCTGGAAAGGCAAAAGTTGGCTGCTGACCTTACTCTTTCCTTAAGAGAGGACCTTCAACCGACCCATACACCCATACATGTGCCATGGCTGACCTTATATCTCAAATGTTTCCTACCTATGAAGTTTCTCCTGTTTGGCAATTACTCCTTTATTATAAAGCCAGCTACCCATGAAGGATTCACATTGCATATCAGAATGCCTGGCTGAGTATCTGAACAAATAAATGTTTCTTCCAAGGATATTGAAACGGATCAATCCTGGTCTACACAAACTATCGGGAGCAACGCAAACACCATGACGATTTTGCGGTCAGAATGGATCACGGCATCAAAGAAGGCCAAGTACAAACCCAAGGCCGAATGTCATTACTATTGCTGAGCTTTCTCGCATTATACATGGAAGAAAAGCTCATCTCTTTCCAAGTATGAATTATTCAGTGTAAAACTTTTAAACCGGCAATGGTATTCAGCATGCGACGTCCTCCTCTTCCCTTCTGACATTCAGAGACACAGCAAGAAAATCACTTAGGGAAAGATATTTTGACTTAGCGATCTCATTCAGTGCATTATGCTAAATCATTTTGGCAGCACAGGAATACCTATTAGGAATCATTTTCAATTTTGGGGAGGGATGGAGGAAGTGGCTGGGCATAAGACTTAGCAGCTTTCCGGCTTCGATTTCAGTCAAGCTGAACTGGTGAACAGAAGCGCATTCATAAGCTGATTTCCAAACACTCCGAAAATTTCAGCTGCCGGTAACATAGCTTGCTTGAGCTTTGACTGTCACACATCGCTAGCTCTTAAGCCGACCCGCCTTTGGAAGCAGCAAAGACTGGGGGAGGGAAGCAGGAATGCAGATTCTTTCTTTTCAGCCTCCCCCAATGGGTTCTGAATACCTGAACAGTTTCTAGTTACTACTGAATCTTGGCTTTCATAATGTTACGGCTTTGTAAAAAAAATACAGAGATTTGTAGACTATCAATACTAAGGCTACTGAACCTTCACTGGAGACATGCAAATATGCCCACAAGCTGTTTCTCAAATCGCTTGGAGCGAAGAAAGGATGGTATCACTTTGGGAAGACTTCTTTAAGACATAGTCAATACTTTTGTTATTGTTGACGATGTTAAACAAAGGGGGGATATACGGATATAACTAGCCCATTTTAATTCACCATGCATTGTTTTCATATGGTGTTCCATAAACTCACTCGAGTGAGATCTTTGTTGAACTTCTACAGCGGACCTTGCATCTTGTTAGTTTCTCTCTGAAAAGGATATCGCATCTTTTTAATTTTTTTATAGAAACTCGACTCCACATTTCATATCATTCTGAACAGAAGGATATATCCAATTGTGTGTCTTTCCTCATGAAAGGCTCTTTACTCTAGCCAAGGCTTCTGTGAAGAAAAGGGAGAAGAAGGTGATTTTTGTGATTCCCCCCTTTCTCTAACAGCCTGGACTTTGCAATTTTTCAAGAGGCTGTGAACACACTATACCTTTCAAGCACATTTGAAATGAATTCTTTCCCTCAAAGAATTCCGGGCACTTTACCCCTCACAGAGTTACAAATCCCAGTAACTCTTAACAAACTGCAGTAACCAGAATTATTTGAGGGAAACAAGGTGCTTCAAATGTGCTTTATAAGTATGGTGTGTACACAACCACAACATTCCAAAGGGTCTCCTGACCTACTGGGGCAGACTTTGATCAAGGAATGCAGAGCAGAGGGAGAATCACATAAAAATTGGCTTCCTTCCTCCTGGAAACTTCCACTGGATTAAAGAGCCTTCCTTGGGCAGAGGGAAACCAGTTGGATACAACCCAGAGATCTTATATAAAGTTTGAGTTAAAAAAGAGAGAGAGACAAAGTTTAGAAACCGATTTCTATGGGAAGGTATGCATACATAAATTTAAAAGAAAGCTAGATGCTTGTGGGATCCAAATAAATCTGTTCCACAATGATGTACGCTGTTCCCACCTTAATCCAGAATTCTGTGTGGTAGTTACATCCAGGGTCATGTGCAAATGGGCCTCTTGAAAGTCTCCACTGTATTTGTGAGCAAAGAAATAGGCGGGGGACGGGACTATTTCACTGAATTCCTCCCAACAGTTTCTCAGCGATAGGATTCCTTGTTGGTAGGGGCAGTAGCAGTTTCTTCCTTAAGTTGCTGCTGTTGTTGCTGCTGCATATGTGAGAATCAGAGACTGTGCTGGCAGCTTGGCTGCCATTTTGCATTCTTCACAACATCCTGGGCTGAGTATCATTCCAGGACAGCAGAGGGCAGAGGAGATGGGTTGTGTGGGGTGGGGTGGAGGTGTTTGCTGCAGATAAATGGTGGAGAATATCTGGAGAAAATCCTGGCCTCCTTTTTTTTTTTTTTTTTACCAAGGAGGGTGAAGAAAGAAAAGAAAAATCTCAGACATGTTCTCAGCAAACCACAGCAACCCACGTCTCCAGAGGAATTCTGGCTCAGCTCTACATCTTTCACTTTAGGGAACTCGCCTGCTTGCTTTAGCTTTATCATCTCAATTGTGTCAAACAATTTCCATGAGAATCCTGTTTCTGCCTGAGTGTGATTCATTTCCATGTTATTATCATTTCTATTCATTAATAGTACTTCCATTTGTATGCTTAAAAACAACAACCCAACAGCTGATTTTTGTAGTTTTGGATCCTGTGCTCTGGGGAGCGTTCCCAAAACACATATTTCCCGTTACTGCAGTTGACTCAGGTCATCTTAGGGTTACTGTATAAGTGCTATAAGTGGAAGTTGTTCCTCTCCAATGCCTGTGAATTCTCCCAGCGAATCTGAAGAATTTTTCACCTGATTGTGCAGCCGTGCTTCCTTTCTGAGGCTATTGCTGCCTAGAAACCCTCTGTAAATCTCTCTCTTCTTCCATTATTTGCCGTGCCTCATTTTTAAAAATATTTTTATAAAAAAACCAGGGCATAGCTATACATATTCATCCGACGGCCCCTTCCGCAGCTCGTGTGCACATGAAAGGAAGCAGAAACCTTATATTTTCAGACGGAGGTGTTCGGTGCAGAAAAGGGTTCAAAAGCTCATCTGCTTCTCTGAGCTGTATCCAAATTATGTGTGCTGCCTGAATCTGAAAATGGAATCAGCTGGAAATGTGCCTTTTTGATGAGATGCTTTGTGAGCTCTTGCAGGCCTAAGCTGTAAATACGGTGAGATGATCCTTTCGCACAGTATTTTGCCACTGCCTGAATTGGTAATGTATTGGGAACTTCATATCCTGGTACTTTGGAATATATTGGTGTCATAACAGTATCCGGTATTTTAATGCACTTTGGAGATGGATTCTACTTTCGGAGAGAGCGCCCATCAGCTTCTCAGTGGGCCATGAGCATCATCTTGCTGTGCTGTGGCAGCAGGATCCGTGAGAAGCCTTACTGGAAGCATAGCAGTAATGTGCCTTCTGCCATGCTCCTTATTTGCACCCAGCTGCCATCATTCTGCACAGGCATGTGCTACATTCTTTATATTCATCTATTGAAATCTTTCTAACCTGTGCGAGATCATCTTAGCAAAGGCTACAATAACAAAAGAAGACCGGAACACCTAAAGTTGTAAAACATAACAATCCATAATAGACATAACAAAAAAAATTCCTTCCAGTAGTACCTTAAAGACCAACTAAGTTAGTTCTTGGTATGAGCTTTCGTGTGCATGCACACTTCTTCAGAATATCTGAAGAAGTGTGCATGCACACGAAAGCTCATACCAAGAACTAACTTAGTTGGTCTTTAAGGTGCTACTGGAAGGAATTTTTGTTTTGTTTTGACTATGGCAGACCAACACGGCTAACTATCTGTAACCATAATAGACATGTTCAGCATCCAATCTTAAATACCCAGCACCAGGAAACAGAAAATCGTCTACTTATGAGCAAAGCTCAACATGTCCCAGATTCCTGTGTAAACAACCAGGGTTCAACTGGGTGCCATTCAGCTTAAATGTTGAGCACTAGCAAACAGCACAAAGATATCACATGCTTGTGAACTGCCGTCAACATGGCCCAAATGCCAGAGCAAGAAGCCAAGTTTTAAGTTGATGCTGAAAAATAACCAATCTCGGTGCCCCACAGCAGAAGGTATCCCATAACCATTGTTTGGACAGGCTGTATTTCAGGGGTAGAGCATCTGCTTTAGAAATGCAGAAGGTTCCAGATTCAAACCCTTGCATCTTCAGGTGTGGCTGGGAGACAGGGCATTTTATCAGCCGGAACTCTCCAGAACTCAGTTCCGGCACCTCTCAGGTGGGCGCCATTGTCGCTATAAGAGAACGAGGGAGGCATTCGTGGTGAGTTCCAGCACTTCTTTTTCTT